GTGAAGGAAATGGATCAGGTGACAGCAAGGTTTGCCAAATCATTTCCAGATTTTCTGGAGCTGTTCATCAAACTTGAGGGGGTGTACATGCTAACCGAATGAAATAATTCTTGCTTCCCCCCCGTCCCTTGATCTGGATCCACTATAAATGTAAAACTCCCAAAACACAACTGTAGAAACTATCTTCAAAACCACAGCACAAACTCTAAAAAGAAAAGCAGAAATACTGAAAATATAACACTATATAACATGAGTAGAAAAGCAAGCAGTAAATCAAGAAACAGAAACTCTAAAAACTATAGATAGAATATAGAAGATAGAAGAAACTCTAGAAAGAACAGTATGAACTCTCTAGGAACTCTAGAAACAATGAAGAGACTCTACACAGGAACACTCATATCGGAAACACACACACAGTGAAACTATCACACACTGATTCAGTCGTCTATTATTAACTTTCCCCTCTTCATTCATATCTACATGTCCTGCTGCTGCATTGCATGCTGGGAGCACACTGGGATTGACATCAGGCTTCACATGTAAAAAGTGTCACATGTTTGCCGTGTGTGTTTGACACATGATGCTGTGTACTAAGAGAAGCTGTAACTAAAACACTGGAAAATGCATTTCCTGTAGAAAATTGGCCTGAATGACGAAAGTTTAAAAAGCATAACTCAAAGTGCAGAAATGTGAAATGAAATTCCAGAATGCTTTGCTGGAAAACCTGGAAGTTGAAATGGAAAACTGGAAGAGCTGGAAGCTGAACAGATTCCCAGTTTAAATTATCTTTAGAAGGTCCTGATGCGGTCAACATAACACTCACATTTCCAGGCACTAATCAGCCTTCAAAGTAAAAGCACCAGCAGCAAAATCAACCTTTCACAATAAAATCGCCACATGTAACACGAGAGGAGCAGAAACAATATATAATACAAATAATCCTGAACATTAAAAATGCATATCTATTACTACAACTGTCTAATTATAACGGTAGACTGAGGAGAACTCTTTAGATTTGTATTATTTTATGGGAAAAACTGTTCCTACTCTCTCTGCCACGTTGTCTGTGGGTTTTTCCGCTTAGCTTGCTCACATGACACACACACACACACACACACACCAACGTTGTTTCTGATCTTTGACATTTTCAAGACTCTAATCGTACGTAAAACTAACACACACACACATGTACAGCAGTGTGAGTGTTTCACAGTATTGCAGCACTACATGGTACAGGTGTTTGTCTACTGCTTCAAGTAAAACTGCTCCATCAGTGGAAAATCTGCTTTATGAATCAGAATTACCATAATACCAAATGATCATGTTCCTGACCCAAAACATGTCCTTTTACCATATCTCTCACACACACAGCCTTTTTTATTTCTCTGAATTAAGAAACAGAACATCAGAGGATCTGCTTTTTTCTCCCTAAAGTAAAACCTTGTCCTGTCACACTGACACACAACTTATTTATACAAACAATATTAAAGTAACATTCATGTGCATATTAAACTGAATGTGACATGTTATCAAAAAGTCTTACATTAAATATATACAATTTAAACTGTGTTCATCGTATTGCCTTCAAAACTCTCCTTATAAAATGAATATCTGGAATATTTTTTGTAAAAACACAGAAACATTTTTAAGAGATTCTGTTTATTTTCCACAGATATCACAATATTTCATCTTTATTTGCAGAACCACATTAAGTATAATAACTGTTTAACTACTGAGACCATCACCTTTTATTTAAACATACAAAGAGATAACATATCAACTCAGACATCTGTTTTATTACAATAATAAACCAAATATTTATTCCCAGACGTATAGTGGATCCGATTCATATTTCAGTCTGTTGATGTTACTGTCTGCAGACACAGGAAGCTCGATGACTAACACCACATATTTACAGAAACACACACACTCCCACACACACACACACACAGTAACATCCTGATTTTGCTTCCCATCTTCCCAACATTTCATTTTTCTTTGTCTGCCGCTCGACACATCCTGATCGTCCCCCTTTAACTGTGTGCTCGAGTTTTATCAGTACTGATTACTGATTGGACGATTGGAGAATTTGGCTGTTTATGATTGGTCTCATTTACACAAGTACAAAGCTTAAAACCAGGAAGTTAGTTCTTTATTTTCATTTTCTAAAAAAAGGTTTTAATACAGTTTTTATTCTGAACGTTTATTCAATATCTTTTAATTATTTACATTTCCTTAGTAATAAACTCCCATTTAACGGCACCCAGCTCTTCAAAATAAAAGAACCAACTAAGTCAGAGTAACTGTATCATAACATATCCTACAGTTAGCTCAAGACGAGGCTTGTTTTTCAAAATAAAACCCCCCGACTCTCACTTTAAGTTTACACCATAATAGCAAGTTTTGACCCATCTTAAAGTAAAAGTCGTATCATTCAGCAATTCAACTTTAGCTGGTGCTTTTCCCCGATTCAACAAAGATAATTAAAGGAAATCTTAACTCCTTCTTTATATAAGCACATATAATTCCTTGCTGTAAACCCACATTTGAAGTCATTACATAGCGTACTCTATATTTTGCATCCTTCATCCCCTTCCCTCTTTAAACTACTTCACCATCTGTCACTAAATCAACAAACTTAAAGTCAAAATGACAACAACAGGGATTGGGAAAGAGTAAAAGGCTGATATTGCTCAACACATACTGAAATGCTCAATATAATATGATAAAAATACTTGAATAAACAGATTTCTGGACTACAATGTTTACAGTTTTCTTTGACTGAGAGAAGACAGGAGGCGGGTAACTAAAGATGATAAAAACCAACAAAGACATTTGACAGGAGACTAAGAAATGTGTTAAATATAGCGAGAACAACACCAGTTATTTGTATCAAGACTTTAACTCTGTCGCTCTGCTGTTTGGACTTGGCCCAACCCAGTCAAAGGTCAGAGGTTACATACTGGTGTGTGTGTCCCAGCCTCACTTCCTGTGTACAGTATGTACTGAGAGCTTTATTGTGTTCACACAGTCTCAAAACATCAGTCCAGTCTCAGCATCACAGCAGGAGGCCTCGTACACTCATGTGTGTGTGTGTGTATGTATGTGTGTGTGTGTGTGTGTGTGTGTGTGTGTGTGTGTGTGTGTGTGTGTGTGTGTGTGTGTGTTTTAGAGTAAAATCATGTGTTTGTGTGGTGAGCATACCAATGGATTAATGACACATGGATCATACGGCACGAGGTGTGTGAGAGGGGTCTGGTGTTGTGAATTGCTATTAGCCTTAATTAACAGCATCCTGTATGGCTCATCCAAGCCCCCAGGAAGTGTGCCGGACTCTGATGAAAATATTCGTTGTGTCCAAGCGGCGGTTCTACAATTTCCGTATCAGTCCGTGACGTCACTGGGCCCAGAAAGACTTTTCCCCATTGACTAACATTGGGAAAGAGACGTCTGTAAATCAGCGGATACTTTTTTTTTAACTAAATAAACTACCCAGTATGAACTATTTTATAGCCCTTATTAGAATCATTCGGTCCTTAAAGTTGGAAAATGCACTAAAAGCCGAATCTAGATTTATTTTTTGTCTCCATTCATTCTACTGAGCCGAGAGTGGGAGCTCCGGGGGCGGGGCTTAAGGGGCGCATGCTCTGTGAGCGAACATGCGGGTTCTTCTGCTCTGACAGCTAGGCATGATGGGTAATCTGTGACGTTTCGCTCTCTCAAAAGTTGGGCCATTTTGTCCTCATGCACCAATGAGCAGCTCTCATAGGAAAGAACGAGACCCCGCCTCCCACGCTGTATCCAGTTCTTATTATACATCCATGGTATGTACTGAGAGCTTTAATGTGTTCACAAAGTCTCAAAACTTGAGTGGAGTCTCAGCCTCACAGCAGGAGGCCTCGAACACACGCCAGTGTGTGTCTGTTTTAGCGTAAAGTCATGTGTTTGTGTGGTGAGCAGACGAATGGATTAATGACACTTGGATCATACGGCACGAGGTGTGTGGTGTTGTGAATTGCAACAGTTATCCTTAATTAACGGCGTCCTGTATGGCTCATCATACAACATCCTCAACAAACTCTCCATCTCCATCTGGAACTCACTCCCACAACAAATCAGAGACTGGGCCGACCACCCCCCCCCCTTCAAAACACCGACCAAAACGGACCTTTTTAGACTAGCTTTTAATGTGTGATTGATGCCGTCAATATACAATAAATGTGGTTTTATTGCTAGATTCTTTTACCTCTGCAAAGCATCTTTACGCAGCTGATAAATGTAGAATAAGATGTATTATTAATAATTCAACAAGCCTTTTCTCTGTTTCTTTATCCTTTGTATATAGTGGAGGTATGCGAGAACCACCAATTCTTCTAGTATGCATCCAGAGAAAACTTAACTACTCTAACAGTGTCTTTGCAAATAAAAAAAAGAAATGGGTAAGACAGCTGCAGACACAGAGAAAGGGGATCACATTACTCCAGTGTTGAGCTCTTTACACTGTCTGTCAACTTCAAAATACCACTGTTGGTTCATAAAGTACTGAATGGTTTAGGAACACGTATATATATTTCTGAAATATAAAGTTTGTACTGCAGTAAAAGCAAAAATACTACAGGATCTGATATACAGAATAGACTGTATAAATACACTATAGGCCTGATATGTACTGAATAGTCAAAGTATAAATACAAATATTGACTGAAATACACATTACAGTCAACTTATAAATACACTATAGGTCTGATAAACACAGCTATATACAGTATAGTGAACGCAGTAGCATTATAAATACAATATGGTTACTTTAGAATCTAAAAAATGCTCACGGCCCACATTCAACCATAAACAATACGGAGGCGATCTGAAGTTCTGATTGGTCAATTCAGAACATGTGCAAATTATTTGGCGGCCCACTTGCAATGCGTTCGCGGCCCTCTAGGGAACCGATGCACTTTGGTATAAATCAGTGTCACTAATTGAAGCTGCAGTTCACTCACCTGTCCTGGGGGAGGCGCTGCTGTGTGGGGGGGCAGTGGGGGGGGAGGTGTTCAGGTGGTAGGAGAACCTCATGGTGCTGAACTGAGTGGAGAAGGAGGGCTGCATGCCCACAGGAACCAGCGTCTGCACAGAGGTCAGAGGTCACGCCCCGTTAGCCTCAGTTCATCTCCACACCAGACTCTTAATTTGAAGGGTTCCGTTTGAATCGGTCACTTCCTGTAGAGTCCTCAGAGAGTTCATCACATCGAATTAAGTCATTTTCGGTAAAAGTTCAGCATCTGTTTTTGTTTTTCTCTACTTCCTTCTTCTGATGGAAGTCATGAGGAGGTCATCGTCTCGCCTCACTCATCCTCCCCCTCTCTCTCCCCCATCTCTCCCCCCGTCACTCTTCCAGAAAACTTTAAAATCTTGTCGTCTCCATCTCCCGTCTCAGTAGAATCCAAATAATGTGATTTAAAGATAATTAAAAAAAATACTTCCTCAGATCAGCTGATGACTCTTTTAAGTTTCCCCAAGATTAGATCCGAATGCACGTGAAGAAAAAGTGACTGATTTTATCTCCTTAAATTAAACTTTTCTCAGTATTTTCCCCCATGAAGAATCCAAAATGTGCCGACTCAGCTCCAGCAGAGAAGCAGTTTCACTTTTCCTTACACTTCCCACTTTTTCCCAGATGTAATTACCCTGTTGCTGCTTCCTTTCTTACATCTTCTTCAGATTTTAAGTCTCTTTATTCCTGCTTCAGATTCCTCCAGACAGTCGGTAGATTTTCTCTCGGTAGCTTCAGGCTTTTGTGTGAAAATCTGATGTGAGCTGCAGACACACACCACAACTCCTCCTCCTTCTTCTCCTCCTCCTCCTTCGGCATGCAGACATCTGATCCCAGACCAGCTCCCCTCCTCCTCCTCGCCATGGTCTGTTTCTCATTTTCTCTCCTCCTTTCTTGTTTTTTTGGAGGCTGAAACTTGAAGCAAAGGGAAAACTGTGTGGAGAGAAATTCCAGCAGCAGTTTTTTGTTTTTTCCTCTTTCTATCAGAGCTGCAGAAGTCAGTCAGCTGATTCTCCTCTTCATCACTTCATGTTATTTTTATCACTTTAAAAGCAGCACAGATGAAATTAAAGGATCATGTGAGAGTCTGTCTGCCAGCAGAGGGCTCCATCACTGATCAATGCACGATCTGTTTGGTGTTTCAGTCAAACACTTCAGAGACATGCTTTGTATCCGAGACCTTTAATATGTTGTTGAACAAGAGGATAATCGAGGACCTTTAAGCCATAAAAAGAAGACAACTTTTGCCATGTGTTTAGGAAAAGAATGTGCTCTGAATCAGGCGATGATTTATATATTACTGCATATCTACATAGGAATAAAACGTTGTGTATCGAGTTGAAATTCTTCTATATTTGCTCTTCTTCTAAAGTCTTTTCAAATTTTGAGTCTCAAACATAAAATTAAAGAGGTCCTAAGCTGGATTGATTGTTACTATCAGATATGTGTAGCTTTAACGTAAACCTTAGGACATAAAAAAATGGAGTGTCTATTTTCACCCGGGTGTAAATAGCATTGTTAGCTACGGACACCCGGGTTGCGGTCGAATAGTCCGTTTAGCTTAGGAACCTTCCTAACGGAGTGAAATGACCCGGAAGTACCTCAGTGGCAGCCATGATAAGTAAATTCTCTAGATGAAAGGAAAGGAGGTTTCAAACTTCCTTTATAACCTCCTTTAGCTTAGGAACCAGTGAACCTTCCTTTACGAAAGGAAAGGAGAAAATGCTGCCCCACAATGCCTTGCGGCTGCAGCATTTGCCGTCACACAACAGTCGGCCGTTCACGGAAACAACCGATTATGACCGAGAAATTATATCATGAAAGTTACGGTGCTTATTAAGCTTTTTAAAACGTATGTGGTAACTTGCCAAAGTGCTTTGTTTTCAATGTTCATCAGTATTATAATCAAAAAGAGAAATATGAACGTTAGTTTTTACTGAAATTATCAAATAAAGTCAACATTTCACAGTCTTTACTGAGCTGTGTGGGGTTTGTTCAACTTTTAAAATATGTTTGAATGGTGATATACACAGCGATAGATGTTAAGGACTAACGTTTATAATAAATACATTCGTATTGATTTTAAGATCTTTTCATACAATCATACGTATTGGGATCATTTGTATTAATGTGGACCGGAGGGAGAGGGTGACGAGCATAAGTTTCACTTTCCTTTTGTATTTCAATTCCAACTTTGGTCATGAAGAATATGTTTCTCTGTTGTCTATGTTCATAAAGCATAAAACAACAGCATCAGAGCACGGTGCAGAGTCTCTAGATGAGTTTACAGTAGTCCCTCGTTCTTATTATACATCCATGTAGTCCGCTCACTCCGCTGTATAGAAAACTGTAGTTTCCCCACAGCAGCAGACGCACATTTATGACGTCCGCTGGCGCATCATAAATACGTCGGATAGTGAAAGTGCAGTCGGATTCTCAAAGCACCGCAGTCTCTTCTCCTAAGTCCTTTTGAAATCTCCTATCCACTATTCCTTAACCCCGTGACGTTTCACACAGAGGTCAAGGAATAGACAATAGGGATCTGGAGGAGCTGATTTTTGGACTATTCGACTATTCGACTGCAACCCTGGGTGTAAATAGAATCGTTAGCTACGGACACCCGGGTGTAAATAGCATCGTTAGCTACGGACACCCGGGTGTAAATAGCATCGTTAGCTACGGACACCCGGGTGTAAATAGCATTGTTAGCTACGGACACCCGGGTGTAAATAGCATCGTTAGCTACGGACACCCGGGTGTAAATAGCATTGTTAGCTACAGACACCCGGGTGTAAATAGCATCGTTAGCTACAGACACCCGGGTGTAAATAGCATCGTTAGCTACGGACACCCGGGTGTAAATAGCATCGTTAGCTATGGACACCCGGGTGTAAATAGCATCGTTAGCTACGGACACCCGAGTGTAAATAGCATCGTTACCTACGGACACCCGGGTGTAAATAGCATCGTTAGCTACGGACACCCGGGTGTAAATAGCATCGTTAGCTAAGGACACCCGGGTGTAAATAGCATCGTTAGCTACGGACACCCGGGTGTAAATAGCATTGTTAGCTACAGACACCCGGGTGTAAATAGCATCGTTAGCTACAGACACCCGGGTGTAAATAGCATCGTTAGCTACAGACACCCGGGTGTAAATAGCATCGTTAGCTACAGACACCCGGGTGTAAATAGCATCGTTAGCTACGGACACCCGGGTGTAAATAGCATCGTTAGCTACAGACACCCGGGTGTAAATAGCATTGTTAGCTACAGACACCCGGGGGTAATAGCATTGTTAGCTACAGATACCCGGGTGTAAATATCATTGTTAGCTATAGACACCCGGGTGTAAATAGCATTGTTAGCTATAGACACCCGGGTGTAAATAGCATTGTTAGCTACAGACACCCGGATGTAAATAGCATTGTTAGCTACAGACACTGGGTGTAAATAGCATCTGCCAAACTTAAAAAAAAGAAAAATCAATTAAGCATTTTTATTATAAATCATTTAAAGTACTATAACCATCAGACTGAGTAAAGCTGTTCACTCTCACGGACAGATAATAGATTTGTTGTTGTTCTTTATCATCTGACCTGTAGTTTTAGTAACATATTTTAATATTCATTTATATTAGTCACAAGCTGCAGACTTTAATCATCTTGGTTTATTTAAATGATTGTTAAGATTAGACATGAGGAAGCGTTGTTTGTGAAATTATAACCAGAGTTATCATTCTCTCTTTCCAGCTGCTGAACTGAACTGAGAGGCTGTGATGGTCCTGACATCCTGCAGGGGGCAGTGTTTGTGCATGAACACTAATAAAAATAAAAATAAATCAGTTTAAAATATAAGACTTTAATTAATATTCAAAAAACAACAACATTCAGTTTAAAATAAATAGCATATAAACAAACTATAAATGAAACAAATGTGACTTTCCTTCAGTGAGTCTCTGATCTCCTGGTCCTCAGGCTGTACCGAGGCTGACCAATCAGAGGAGAGGATGAAGACAGACAGAGGGACAGAAAAGCAGAGGTCAGAGGTCATGCAGAAGCTCATTTATGGTCTTCACATTTAAATCTGATAAATGTACATCCATTCAATGTTTCTTATAGATCTGGTGACCCCTGTAGTTAACACTGTAATGCTAAGAACTTCTAAACAATAAAAAAGTCCCATTATTTATTAAAGAAATATGATTTTCTTGACCGTACACAGAGGTGCAAGAAGTACTCAGATCTTGTACTTGAGTAAAAGTAGAAGGACTCAGATCTTGTACTTGAGTAAAAGTAGAAGTACTCAGATCTTGTACTTGAGTAAACGTAGAAGTACTCAGATCTTGTACTTGAGTAAAAGTAGAAGTACCAGAGTGTAGGAATACTCTGTTACAGTAAAAGTCCTGAATTCAAAATGTTACTCAAGTAAAAGTAGAAAAGTATTATCATCAAAATATAGTTAAAGTAGTGAAAGTAAAAGTAGTCATTGTGCAGATTGGTCCATTTCAGAATAACATATATGATATGTTTTATAATGATTGATCATGAAAGTGTTCTCAAAGCTGGTAAAGGTGCAGCTAGTTTGAATGACTTTGTATACTGCAGGGTAGCTTGTGAATTTACTCCAGGTGGAACTAAAGTCTGATTTAACACTTGATTATATTTCACATCATTCATCCACATCTGTAAAGTAACTAAAGGGATTAAATACATGTAGTGGAGTAAAAGTACACCAATTACCTCTGAACTGTAGTGGAGTAGAAGTACAAAGTAGAACAAAAATGGAAATACTCAAAGTACAAGTACCTCAAAATTGTACTTAAGTAAATGTACTTTACACCTATCACCGTACATGCACAATGAGAACTGAACATGTAAACGGATATTAAATGAGCTGGCCCATCGAGACGGAACAATTTCAGCTGTCTGCAAGTATGTCTCATTTGATGCAATGAATTTAGATAAAAATAACTTGTTTTAAGTAGAATTTTGATGCAACGATTTGTTCACAAGCAGGAATGTGGCACTCAAAACTGCACAAGAGATATGCAATTGTATGTATTTTTCGCAGCCCTTTACTTTATCTTACGTCTTTTTACTGTATGTTGACAGAATGCCAAAGAGGAACTTCCATTCCCTGTAATGAACTAAATAAAGTTTCCTAATTAAATGCAGCATGTGTTGACTGTGTGTACACGAGAGACTCAGAATCAATAGTTTATATTTAGCTTTACCCGTTGGTCCTCCACCAGGATGCTGTACACCAGAGGGCCGGAGGAGGAGGAGGAGCGACGTGGACGCCTGGCCGGACTCACTGAGGCATTCTGGGTAGTGGCAATCAGCACTGATGCATTGTGGGTAATGTTGAGCTGCAGCGTGGTGTCAGCAGCAAAGCTGTTCACTGTACTGCTGAGAATACTGTCATTCGTCCAACCTGCAGTACAAAGAACAAACTTACATTGGTAATCAAATAAGACAGTGACATCTTTTTATGTATTTATTTGAATTAACCTCACTATTTATAACTATTCATTTCTATTTATCATATAATATACACACACACACACACACACACCTATGTGCCTTTGTCATTATCGTGTGTCCTAATTATTCCAACATTTTATACTTTAAGTTAAAAAAAAAAAGAATTATCATAGTTTCTCACAAAAATGTCTTTATGCACAGAAATACAACCAAAGAGGCCCTGTTACGCTTTTTGTTGTTTTCCATTTCCTTTAGTGTGTTATAGGTTTGGACTCCTTTGTTTACTTCCTGAACATACTGTAGTAACATCACTATGTAACACTCGTGCTCCCATTGGCTAGCGCTCCAACACATTGTACGTGATAGGCTAAGGGGCGGGACATCTCTAAGCAGTTGACCAATCACAACAGAGGTGGCCAGGTAACCAATCAGATGGGACTGGGCTCTGGTTTCAGACAGAGGGTGAAAAGAGGTGCTGCAGCACAGGCAGTATGAGAAAAATAAAGAGCTTTTTGAACATTAAAGCATGGAGACATGTAGAGACACTACATACTGATATACACCTGAACATCAGCAGGAGAGGACTCTTTAAAGTAGAGACACTACATACTGATATACACCTGAACATTAGCAGGAGAGGACTCTTTAAAGTAGAGACACTACATACTGATATACACCTGAACATCAGCAGGAGAGGACTCTTTAAAGTAGAGACACTACATACTGATATACACCTGAACATCAGCAGGAAAGGACTCTTTAAAGTAGAGACACTACATACTGATATACACCTGAACATCAGCAGGAGAGGACTCTTTAAAGTAGAGACACTACATACTGATATACACCTGAACATCAGCAGGAGAGGACTCTTTAAAGTAGAGACACTACATACTGATATACACCTGAACATCAGCAGGAGAGGACTCTTTAAAGTAGAGACACTACATACTGATATACACCTGAACATCAGCAGGAGAGGACTCTTTAAAGTAGAGACACTACATACTGATATACACCTGAACATCAGTAGGAGAGGACTCTTTAAAGTAGAGACACTACATACTGATATACACCTGAACATCAGCAGGAGAGGACTCTTTAAAGTAGAGACACTCCATACTGATATACACCTGAACATCAGCAGGAGAGGACTCTTTAAAGTAGAGACACGACATACTGATATACACCTGAACATCAGCAGGAGAGGACTCTTTAAAGTAGAGACACTACATACTGATATACACCTGAACATCAGCAGGAGAGGACTCTTTAAAGTAGAGAAGAGGTGGGACTGACCCATGAGAGAGAGGGTAGACAGATCTGTGATGTCGGTGGGAGACACCAAAGTGCTGCACTCCTCCTCCTCTTCTTCTTCTTCTACTATTTTTGTTTCCTCCACCATGGGCACCTCATGTCTTCTTCTGCTCCCTGACCTCCTCTGGAAGAGAACCGATTGGTTAGTTTGATCAAACAGGAAATAACGTTTTCCTCTGTGACATCACTTCCTGTTGTTCTCACCTTCACCCATAACTGATTCTGCTGCTGCTGCTGCTGCGCCCCCAAACTCTCTACAGACAGACGGAGTAATGAGTGACATGGAAAGACATTACAAACGTACATGTAGAATAAGATACTCTATTTATCCCCTGGGACAAATTGGATTTTAAAAAGTTGCTCCATTCAAGAATACAAAAATATATAAATCTGAAATATTAAGATAGAATTTGAAGTAAAAATGTGCACATTTTACTTAAAGGGGACCTATCATGCAAAATGCACTTTTGTACGTCTTTTATACATGAATATGTGTCCCCGGTGTTCCAGGGAACTCACCAAGTGTCAGAAAATACAACCCTCTCTATTTTCCTCCATACCCAAATCTCTAAAAAAGGGGCTGCAACGGATCTGATAAAAACTGATCCAGATTTGAACACTGTCCTGACGTCAGGACGGTGGCGCTACGGCTATTGGGCCAACTCCACCAATCAGGAGGAGACAGCCACGGCCATTGCCGTTCGAAAGCGCTGGAGACGCTGTAGTACATATGCCAGGCCTGTAGATGGTGCTGTTCTCACAGAATCTGCCCTTGCAAAAACAGAGCTAGAAATTGTCAAATTGAGCAAAATGAGGCATGGCTAAAATGCATGATCTGTTTGGTATTTTGAAAAAAAAAAAGTATAAATATGCCTTATATAGGTATGGTCCTACACTATATTATTAAAATATAGCATGATAGGTCCACTTTAAGTATATAATAACAAATATGTAAAAAGTTGGTTTAATAAAATATAAATGTATGATATGTAGTCTGTTCATTTTAATGATATTAATGCTGAAAACCAGATTATTGCTCAACATGTGTTATACAGTAATGATGCTAAAGCGATGTTAGCATTGCACAGCTAAATAATGTTCCAGGTTATATGGCATTAGTTTAGTAGTATATCATGCAATATTTACTATATCATATTATTATTACTGGCTGCTACTATTTTTGCATTTGTTGTTACTATTTCTGGTATTACTGGCTACGTCATTACTTTTACTTGTTGATTTCTACGTTATAAAGCGGCTACTGATCTGTTCTACCTTGGATGTGTACTTATTTGATTGTTATTTTATAAATGTGTGCTTGCCTCTTCATTTAATGTTCATTTTATTTTTGTCTTTATCTGTACTGTCCGCTTTGCACTAACAACGGACATTTCTCTGCTGCTGGACAAATACAAAATGTTGATGCCTGATATAAATGTATGTTTTTTAAATTATTTAAGATTTATTTCCCAGTTTAAAACATTTCTTCTTGTTCTTCGTCTCACCTGCATGCAGCAGCGCCTCCTTCAGCTGCTGCAGCACCTGCAGACTCTGCTGCACGGGGTCTCTGTACCGAACACACACCACCAGCAGCACACACACACCAACACACACCATGAAGCGCCGCAACACACTCACATACACACTGACCAGCTCCTGCACACACACACACACACACACAAGTTATGACAACAACACACAGCTACAGCAGTACTTCAGAGACTCAGGTGAAAGGTGCTGACCATGTGTTTGTGTTCAGGATGATCCGAGTTCATCACAAACTGGTAGATCTTCCTCTCCAGGAAGACATTTAAACACACCAATGTCAACAACATCAACCTAAACAAACAGACACAGAAAAATACGGTTTATCAATCAAGCACAGATCTGAAATACACATATTGGTCACTCAGTGCCAAAAAACTTGACCAGTAGGTGTCTGAGAGGAGAGGTGAAGAGGAGGGGTTTCCTCTCTGAGGGTGGTGATGAGGAAGAGGAAGAGGAGGAGGAGGAGTTACCTGTCTGAGGGTGGAGGTTAGGAAGAGGAGGAGTTACCTGGCTCTGGAGGAGCGCTGCGTGGCGGTCAGGAGGAAGGCGGTGCAGAGGGCAGCAGCGTTGTAGCAGCAGGAGCCCAGGCTGTGAGCCTCCACCATCAGGAAGCTCTGCAGGAAGGACACTCTGTTGAAGAGTTCAGACAGCGCCACCTGCTGCTGCCTGGAGGCACCGTTCAGCTCCGAGAACACCGAGCGCAGGCCTGACAGACAGACAGGTGGAGAGAGACGGGTGGACAGAGAGACAGGTGGAGAGAGAGACGGGTGGAGAGAGAGACAGGTGGAGAGAGAGACAGGTGGAGAGACAGACGGGTGGAGAGAGAGAGACGGGTGGAGCTGGGTTAAGGCTGCTGTGACAAATTTTTGGCTGCTTTTTTTTTTTTAATAATAAATTAGCTTTTTACCTACCCATTGTTGTACTTTTTTAACCCTTTGTGAAGTCTTAAAGGTCACCTATTATGCAAAATCCACTTCATCATGTATTTTCTACATCAACATGTGTCCCCTCTGTGTAAAGAGACTCTGAAAGTCTCAGGAACAAAGATTCTCTCTCTTTTTGTCCTGATCCATTTATATAAAAACCTGTCTGAAAATGAGCTGATCAGATTTTGGCCACTTTATGATGTCATAACGATTTTTTGGCTTGTGTAACCATTAGCCAATCACCAACCAAGGTAACCCCCCCCCCCCCACCCCACCCCCACCACCCCCCCACCACCTTATCCCCTGAATCTCCTCCTAGAGCACCATTGAGTTCTTTGTAACCAAATATCTCTCAGAGGGGCGTGGGGAGGGGCTCCTTATTCTCATCTAAAGTAACAGACAGAGAATCAGCACTTTTGAAACAGGGCTGAAACAGAGGGGATTATGGGATGCTGCAATGATCTGTTTGGTGTTTGGAGCCAAACACTTCAGAGACATGTTCTGTATATATCTGAGACCTATAATATATTGATGAAAAACAGTATAATAGGGGACCTTTAAGGCTCTTTCTGTACGTGTTTCTTAACCCAGTGGATAGTCTTTAAAGGGGACCTATCGTGCAAAATGCACTTTTTGATGTCTTTTATACATAAATATGTGTCCCCGGTGTGTCGGGGAACTCATGCAGCGTCAGAAAATAAAACCCTCTCTCTTTTCCTCCGTACCCAAATCTTTTAAAAACGGGGGTACAACGAGCGGATACAGATTTGCTGCCGATATTACGTAGTTTCGGATGGTGGACCCACAGAAAGTTGCTATCAGAAACAATGCCTGACGTGTTTTGGACGTAATCTCGTCTTTGTTTACATTAGCAGAGCCTCGCTAACACTCAGAGCTAACCTGTACTGGAGAGCACATGTGTTTAAAAAGCAGGAAATAAAAAAAAGGAACTCACCTTGTGATAAACCCGCAAGAGAAAAAGCATTTGAGCTCCATACCGTTTCAGAAATAATCCTTGATGTGGTTTAGAACAGGATGGCATTTTATCACAGCAGAATTTAACTTTATCTCCGGTAGAATTCTGATCAGGCATTAGCTCCGCCTCCTCTTCTTTCTTTTTTTTAGCTAAGGACCCAAAATCCGCGTTTCTCTAACAGGGCTTCAAAAGAGGGATATGAGGGATTTCTAAAATGCATGATCTGTTTGGTATTTTGAGCAAAACACATCATAGACATGTTTTTATGTATTTTTATATATCCGAGACCCATAATATATGCCTTGAAATAGCATGATGGGTGCACTTTAAGGCGGTTTTTCTTGGACAATGTATTTTATACCCTGGGTAGAGTCTTGCAGGGTGACTCTCAGCTCCTCTCCGTTGTCAAGGATCTCCTTCTGTGCCTGTAAGGCAAGGGTCTGGGCATCAATGAGGTCCTCAGCCATCTGCCTGGTGGACAGAAGCTGCTCCGCTACACCTGCTGAGCTCTCCGTTAACCTGAGACACACACACATATCAAAAGTTTATAGGTGCGTGTGTGTGTGTGTGTGTGTGTGTGTGTGTGTGTGTGTGTGTACAGGTACGGATCACAAGTGGAGTGAATATGTTACATGTTACGTATTGCCTACACATGTTAGATAGAATTTAAATCAAGAAAGCTTAATGTGTTTTCATCACGATTCCATCAGAGGGCATTTGACTTTTTAAATGTAGCTTTTTTATTTCAGTGGCTTGCAAGATACTCCTTCTGAAAAGAAAGAGGTAAAGCAAACCCTGATATTACAGAGATGTCATTGACTGAATAAATGTTCCTGTTAAGGAGGTGTGTGTAACAATTACATTTCGATTATATTATTATAAAAAAATTAATTCAACTGTTTACATTACTATGAAGCTTAATTGCTGAATGACAACGTTTTAAGTTAGGAGTGTTTGTGTGTGAAATGCAGTGTGTCAGATCCAGAGATGGCAAAAGTACACACATCCTTTACTCAAGTAGAAGTACAGATACTCGTGTTTAAAAATACTCTGGTCAAAGTAGAAGTACTGACTAAACTTCTTTACTCAAGTAAAAGTAAAGAAGTATGGGCTTTGAAATGTACTTCAGTAAAAAGTACCCATAACTAGCAGCTGTTTTAAAGAGTACCTGACCTGCCTTTATATTAATAGAACAATAATGTCATTGTTAGCTAATGAATGTTTCCATGCTGAACAACGGCAACGTTTTCATTGGTCCCTCTTCTTTAGAGAAGACCAGGAAATGATGGATACACGGATCGTGTTCAAATCAATAGGCACGCAATGACTCTAAATAATAATGATCCCGCCACCAAACACACATTCAAACTAAAGGAACCAGCCTGTTTGGGAAATGTGAGAAGTAGAAAGTACAGGTATTTGTGTTCAAAATGTAAGAAGTAGAAAGTACAGGTATTTGTGTTCAACATGTAAGAAGTAGAAAGTACAGGTATTTGTGTTCAACATGTAAGAAGTAGAAAGTACAGGTATTTGGGTTCAAAATGTAAGAAGTAGAAAGTACAGGTATTTGTGATACAAATGTAAGAAGTAAAAGTAAAAAGAGTAGTGGAGTAAAGTACTGATACCAGAAAAATACTTAAGTACAGTAACGAAGTATTTGTACTCCACTACTTCCCACCTCTGGTCAGATGTGTGTTAAGTCCGCTGCTCGACACAAACACCTGTGTTAATGTTCCCAGAGTCTCACCTGAACATGGTGTTTTCCGCTCGGCTCTGCCAGGCTTCAGACTGCAGGTGTTGACAGATGGAGTGTGTGTGTGTGAAGAACTCAGTGTAGGCGTTGAAGGCCACGGCGTCCATCGCTCCTGTACAGCTGCTGACCTCCGACCCCTTGGGGCATGATGGGAAATCCCTGCCCGAGCTGACAGACAGAGATCATTTACTGTCAATGTAACAGACACAGAATTGTGCAATGAAATTCAGTCATGAGAATATTTTTTGCAAATAAGACAAGACAGAAAAACAGCAGAAAGAGTGCAGAGGTCGTGTTCAGGATGAGGAAAGAAGTAGCAGGACCCCTGATATTTAAAAACTTCAGAAAACAAAAATCAGCTAGCTATACTCTACTTTCCATTTCCTCAACTACATGTATCTGATGCTACTTAAAAGATTCAAATTATAACACAAAATATAGTTTTAAAATATTTTTGGGGACAATCACAAGCTACTAAAGAAAGCCTCTCCTTTGCCAGCTGCAACCTTCAAGTGATGAACACAAATGCATCGATAATTATAAGTCCATATTGTAATATATAACATTCAGAAGTTGGCCATGTTAACTAACATTTTGAATGCAGATGCTTAACTTAACAGAGAATGTCTACACATATACAATATCTGAAAATGAAATCAACTCAATAAAAAAGGAACATCATTCTAATGTCAACAATATTATACTATATAATATAAGTATGAGAATATAGTTTGAATAATATTCAATATATAAAAAAAAAATCCCTCAATGTCTGAAATGTTAATGACTGTTAAATCTGCACACTTCCCAATTTAACGAGCATTACATTTCATTACGCTTCTATCCAAATTGACTTACAATAAGTGAAATACACCAACTGCAGGTACATTAGCTTCAAATAAGCCACATCAATTTAGCATGTGATGAGAAATGCAAGGTCAAACGGGAAGTGTTCATCCAGGAAACTTATCTCATGTCCTTCAGGTTATTTAATATCTATAAGAATAATTAAGATCAAATCAGATCATTATGCATAAACCCCTCGTTCAGAGCCTGCTGACTGACTTACCTGCTCAGGTGACAGAAGGTGAAGCTCAGCGCGATGCGGCTCTGGCTCTCTGACGTCATGTCCGTGCAGCGCGTGTCCAGGTTGTCCAGAGCTCGCGCCCAGCACCCTCCGTACCTGGGCTGAGTCGCGAGGCTCTGCACGCGCCGCAGCTCCGCCATGCCTCGCGCATCAGAGTCCGGACCGGATCCGGGGGGGTAGAGCGCGAGGAGCACCGAGCTGCCCAGCAGCAGCAGCAGCAGCAGCGCAAGCACCTGAGCTGCCATCTTCACCTGTCTGAGGCTCGGCCAATCAGAGAGCTGGAATTGTACCCGGTCAGAGGTCAGCGAGAGGTCACGAGGTTGTCAACGTTATTCTTTACATTTCATTTGAGTGTTTTTATTAATTATTTTGGTGAAATACTTCTGTTTGAAAGGTGTTCTGTCAATACACTTATTTTTTGCTTTTAATTGACATTTATTTTGTTTTGTTTTATTCAGTTGTTTTTTTAGTTTCTTTGAATTAATCGATAACTTATGTCTAGCTCTCTTTATGGATTTGAAGGGGGTTTGTTTCTGTTTTTAATTTATATTATTTTCTTTATTGTTACATTTTGTGTATGAAAAGTGCTCTTTAAATAAATAAACAAATAGAATAGGTCAAGACACATGAAGAATCAAAGTTGAACTAAAATCACATTCATTATTGAGACATGTGATCATACAGCTGAGCAGACTCGGTATGATCTCGTGACAGCCAGCGGGTGGCAGCAGTGCATCATGGGATGTGAAGTCTTTACCTTTACATATCTTTGGAGACATTTAGTTTTCTTTCAGAACAAAATCTCATGTTGTTTTTCCTTTGTACAAAATATACTTACAGTTTTGAAAGTACTCATTGTGCAGTAAAGGTTCCCTGTCATTGTTTCATTATAATATACAAAATGTTTATGAACTCTTCTGAATATGATTACTGCTGCATTAAGGGTTTTTACTGCAGGTATGGGATGAAAAACTAAAAGCAGTTGAATACAAAGTTAAATATCCAATAAGTGGAGTAGAAATAGAACTACAAAAATACTCAAGCAAATGTACTTAGTTAATTTCCACCTGTGTGTGTGTGTGTGTGTGTGTGTGTGTGTGTGTTGAGCTACAATCAGTCAGACGACCACAGATCAGGGGACAACAAACGCTTTTAGTTAGAAAGAAAAAATAAGAAAACAGGTAAAAACTAGTTTTGTCTACAGCGACATTGTATTGGAGTTTCCACTTAATTCCAACCAGAGTAAAAGCAGAATATTCATCCTCAATATTAGCAACTATGAAGTCACCACACACACATCACTACTAAGTCTAGAAACACAACATGGCTTGGCTCGACATGGTGGCTTCTGGCAAGACGCACAATATTATAGGCACTAAACTCTGGAACATGCAATATGGTGGCTGGTTACTGTAGGTTGTGCCGGGTCGGGTCCTGTCGAGGGGGTCCGTTCACAGAGGGGCGTTTGATTTAAGCAGCTGCGTGAGAGACAGCATGCTATAACTGGGCGGCAGGCGGAGCGTCAAGTACGCAGAGGTGAGGCTTCAGGTGGAGACAACAAACATCAGGTGAGAGGACGTTAGAGAACGAGGCACATTTATCGGATCCAGGTTGAAGACATTCAGGTTTGTTTTTTTCGCTTGTTTGAGGGTCGAAGAGCTCAATTTTTCCGATATCATTGTTAAAGTGCAGGAGCCTTCCCCCACATGTGAAGAATAAGGTGCAAAACTTTTAGATTTCTTGATGGCAAATCTATTGAGAGAGCATTAACATTCAGTGTCTGTATGTTCAGATTTGAGAGCTCAGGAAACAATCACGAAACTTCCCCTTGTTTTAGGAGTTGTTTCAGCAGAAAACCTACAAGAATTCTCTAGAGATAATTGAATTGAAATCTTGGCTGAGATGTACGGCAGGGCATTGCAACACGTCTGTTTCAGGTTAATTAAAAACATACATTTTCTTTGATTCTGCCGTTTGTATCGTTACAGCCAAGGTGAAATAAAGTGTGATACTAAGTGCTTTAAGAGAGAGGGGGATGTCAGGCGCCCAAGATAAGGTGGCATATATGTCTACATTTTAAATAAGAATAAGAGTTGGCATAAAGTGTAATAAAAAAGTATAATGTGCTATATAATGTATATTCTCCTCATTGATAGCCTACATTGAATAATAAAAACAAAACAAGCTCAAATAAATATCCTACACAATACACAACTCTACCATCTACAACCACTCCCAGGGTGCATTTCACTCATACACATCCAGTAACAGAGCTTAATTAAAGGTGAGTTGAAGTGAAAGTTGCTGAGAAATAACATTTTACATTATTGTTTTTTCAACAAACTTTATCAGAAAGACTCATTTTCTTTGCGGAAAATCTCAATGGGCCAGGGAGAGAAACTCTACTGAGCATGTGCAGTTAGATCTATGATGTGGATCAAGCCCAGAAGCTAACATGCTATTTTATTTTAAGGAACTTGGCGACATATATTTGATATCCAGTCCTTATATTACATTCATGCTTTAATAGGACACGTCCATATCTGACTGTCAGATTATCGTCAAAAGCATGTGCAGGGAATCCTAAGTGGAAGTGCCAACAACTGCAGTTCCTCAAATGGCCACTTGAGGCAACAACAACAACAACAACTGTGTCATATACGTGAAGCCATCGGCCGAAAAAGATTTGATCCCATTGACTTACATTGGGAAAGATTATTTTAGGTCTACAAGCTGTAAAATGTGCTAAAATGCATTAATTTGACTTCGCCAAGACCGAACGTCTACGATATAGCAGCTAGGAGACGGGTTTAAAGATCGCCAGAAGGTCCAGGTATTTTAGTTCTCCAAAGTAAGGCCATTTTGACTTCCCGTGCAACCGAGAACATTTGATAGGAATGAATGAAGCCCTGCATCCAACGCTTTATCCATTTCTCAATATACATCCATGTCTAACTGTCTGCTCTGCTTCGGGCCCGCCTCAATTACATTGATGCCCAGTTGTAAATTAGCCAGGAGTTATACTCTTCAGAAACCCATGGATGATATTAGAAACCATATCCATATTTCATACAGCCTATGGTTTCAAGTCAAAGTCGTTTAGACAGATAAGAACACTGCATAAGCCCAACAAGTGACATTCAAGTCGAACCCATTTAAGGATGAGTTGTCTGATCGAAACACAAAAGGCACTAAGAAAACTTCTCAAAAATGTCAGGAGCAATGTTTGATTAGAAGCTCATGATTCTGTCAGTACATCTTAAACGTGATTAGAAACTTTTGAGTAACTTTTTATTGATGTTCACCAACTGTTAAATCAAATTAAGATAGTTAAGAATATCAACCAAACTGCTTCAGGTTGTTAATCAGATGATCTCTATGTTAAGTCCTTGCAAACGACTCCTTCCACTCTTAGAAATATCTCCTTCTTGCTCTCAAATCTGGACTTTCAGATTCAAAGGTTGTTGTCTGCTCACTGAATGTTGTGTCTCCACATGACCAAACCTCGTTCAGGGTTCAACTTCCCGAAGAACGTCATCATGTCCGACAGTAAAAACCTAACAAGGTCGACCTCTGCATATGTTGCGACTCCAGTTGATGGCCTGCAAAGTCTCCTAGCGACATGCAGGCGGTTGATTGTATAAACTGGAGGGGTTGCAAACTGTTCCAGACATTCAACACGAAGACACAATTTGTCCTTTTCCCACTCATTTCATTAAGAGTACAAACTAAAAAGTGGGTTTGGTTTGATATTAAAAGTGCTTCCTTTGGAAACAAAAACACTACCAAAACAAACCGATTCAATGAAGACCTAAATGGAAGAATCTCTAACCTGGAAGAACATCTCGGTGGGTTTGAAATACTTTATAGCCAATTTAGGAGCTCTCGAGATTTGCTTATCAAACAACTGACTTGGAACGGCTGTTTTAGTGTCTGATAGGAGGACTCAAGAACTCCTAAAAAGTTGTTCAAATATTTTAAACAATATTCAAAATGCGTTTCAAAGACTCAGTTCAGAGTGAGGTCTGTGTGGGTCACGAATCGTAATACATACGTCAGATTTGCTTCCTGTAGGGGGCATTCTGGAAGTGGATGGAAAACATTACAGACCCCACACCTTTGTTTATCGCGGGCCAAATGGAAAATGGTGATTACAAAAAAATATGGTAGATTTCTAAGAAACCAATTTAAGGTGCAAACCACCGCCCCCACATCACCTCTGAGGCTTTCAGTCAAGGACTAGTTTCAGTAAGGGACTTTCAGTCAATAGAAGGAGTCTTGATGAGACACCGTCAGTTAAAAAGCAGGACTTTAAATAAGGGACTGTCAGTCAGCAGCACGGCGATGAGTAAGGGACTATCAGTCAATAATATCAGAGTGTAAAGCTGTATAACAGACACAAAACAATAAACTATCATAATACGAAATAAAAAAAAACAGGTTATATTCCGGAAGCAACATTTCCTTCAGAGTAATGTGTTGTTAAGCGTTGGTTTTTCCAAACTACTCCCCCCCCCCCCTTCCCCCTTGGAGACTAGCGGGACACAACAGCTGCCTTTTGATTATATTTACACACAAACTTTTTTTCTGGTTTTTCCTCTTTGTTTGATTTTCCTAGAAAAAGACACCATCTGTTCTCCTCTCCAGCTGCCCTTGAGCGTCAGGTTGGTTCTCAAATCCAGAACTTTGCAGAGTCTCCAGACAGAATCAGACGGAGTAGAGACTCCAACAGTCCTACCAGCTCTGACGTTATCCTTCGTTATCTGAAAACAGTGTAACAATCATTAAAACTCCGTGAACAACCATGTCACACTCCTTTTCCTTCTGGTGCCGACTCAGTACGCGAGTCCACCGATCAGTCGTCCCGGTCATCAGCCCAACTGATCAGCTGACTCTTTCGCTGACGGCAGTCCGTGACTCTACGGTTTCTTCTCGGCTGGGACATGGGACCGCGGACTGGGGGACGATGTCTCTGAGCTCCCTGTCATCACCTGCTGCCTCTGGTTCAGCCCGAAGCCTCGCCCTTCCATCTGCTCCAGTAACAAGGCCAACTCCGGCTCCAGATGCTCCTGTAGGTCGAGGTGGAAGGGAGCTTGAAGGCCTTGAGTTGCTGTTTGAACCTCCTCTTGAAACCTCTCTGCTTTCTGATGCCGGATCCCGTCTTCCTTCCGCCTTGACGCCTTCATCTCTGACCTCTCGGCTTGGCAAAAGGCTTCCTCGACTAGGCCGTGTGGTGCTCAGATCTTGGGGCTGTTCGCC